CAAGAAGACGTGTTTTGAGTGCACTGATATGTGTGGGGGTTTTCTTACCACTTATTAAACGTAACATATGTTAATGAGTAAAGGATCACCAATGGTCACGTATATCAAATTTCAGATTTGATTACTTTAACCTCACAACGTAGTACTGCGGAGACAGATGGAAAGTGGAGGGATAATCTATAGGACATCAAAAAGCATATAAACATCGATCTCAGAAAACGCTATTAGATGCATCGGGTAATGAAATACTGTATGTTTTTAATTCCTTTAAGAGGAGCTATTGATTCAGATGCTAGGATAGGATTTCTTCTGCTTGACCCGGTAAATGTCATTGATGTGGGGAAAACACTCTGTGTATGTGCGTTCAGCTAATCCCTAACACAATTGGCTTGACCTGACACACTTTCGGCTGGTATTGACACGTTTGGGATCTGAGAGTGGGCTTTTGTTTTCGGTGTGAAAAATGAGAAGCACTTTCAAGAGAGAAACTTGACCTTTGCGAAATGCAGTATACACGTTAGCCCAAAACAATTAAAGGAGTTGCTATTTAGGTGGCAAATTAAGGGAGGAAAATTGCTGACAAATCTGATTTGGGCAGATGTGGATAGTTAGCTAGGTGTTGTGTTGTCGATATCTTTGAGACTGTGGCCCTTTAAGGGGGAATGTTGGCTATATTTTGGCTATTGACAGCTTTAGTCTGGCCTTTAAAAACACACACATGCATTTGTGTGTGTGTGTGTGTGTGTGTTGTCTGCCGTGACAGAGATGTTGCAGTGAGCGATGGCTGTGCTGCAGCAGAAATGATTGCCTTTACAGCACCTTGTTGCTCCCCTTCGTAGCTAAAAATAACCCTGCACCACAAGACAAGGAGGGCAGAACGGAGGGAGTTATTCCCCTCCCTCCTAGCCGTAATTATCCAACCCTCCCTCCCTCGCTCGATCTAATTTTTTTCTCTCTTTCATTCATTATCTATACTCTCATTCATTTTCCCTCTGTCACGGTTTCCTCCCTATCCCTGTCTCCAGCTTTACGTTTCCATCGCCACTGCTCCGTCCCCAGTGAAAACGGGCCCGTCACAATGCAAGCTCAGCTCACAGGCTCAGCCGGTGCGGCTGGAATTGGCTGTGTTTTTCCTCAATTAAATATAATTGGGGGGGATTTAAATACAGGCCCTTTTCTTAGTCCATGTGTTTAAGAGTTTGCTGTTGGAGTTTATGCCGTCCCTCAGAAACCACAGCGAGCTCTGTTTTCTACAGGGGAAATGGGTGACGTGGAAAGAACCGAGCAGTTTCTTTTTCCAACACACAAGTTGGGCAGACAGTGGAGTCGTTCATATTTTTAGAGTTTTGTATCGTTCAGAGTAATTCTATTTTCCCTCCTGGTAGGCTCAGGGCTGTTTGTGCCCTCCAGCAATTCCCACTCTGGAAATGTAGATTATTAAGCAGATTTCTCTCCTGTTTTCCCTGCAGGAGGCGTCTGGTTTTTGTGGGCTGACATTCAAGCAGGTGCCTGCTGCACACCTTTTGTTGTTTGGATGAAAGATGCATATGGTTGGCAGGGATTTAAGCTAGAGGAGAGATAATGTCTAGACACACGTGTTCGTCTCTGCCCGGCTTTTTGTGCTCTTGTCAGTAAAATTGCAGTGTTGTCTGACAAGAGTTCGAAGCATGGGAAACATTTCTAAAACTGTATGCAGTGTTGAGGTTGGTAAATGGAAGTTCAGCTTACACAGAACGCCTTGATCAGTTTGCTTTGACCAAGCAGCAGCCGGTTTAACCAGATTCAATTAAAATGATCTTCATTGTCCACACTCCTGGTTATGTTTTGTTTTTTAAATCCTTCTTTTCGCTGAAAACAGCCACCTTCCTCCTGCTACTGCTAACAGGGATCCAAAACAGTGAGCTGAAAGACATCAAAATGCACTGGGAGAGTCATCTGGGCTTTTCTGCCTACTAGCTACTTCTTTCACATTGCTCACAGATTTTATCGGTTGTTTTTAGCAAACCCAAAGCACAAGATGAAGCCAGTGAGGAAGCAGTGTGATTAATGCCATCTGACTTTATCCAACACCCCCAATTTTCAGATGGTAAACCTTTTTTTTAGACCTGTTGTAGCAGGAGAAGTAATTATTATCATTAATAACATTAATTAGAATCGGAATCAGAAGACTTTATTTATCCCCAAGGGGCAATTAACATACAACAGAGCAGCATGACGTTGAAGATAAGGACAGTAAGAACAGGCAATAAGAGTGAGATAATAAATACACAGAATATACAGTTTTAAAATTACACAGTTTTAAAATTAAAGTGACTAAAAGGTGAATAAATAACTGTGAGTGACTAAAAGTGAATAAAGTGTCGGTAGTATAAAAAGAGTATAGTTTATGTTTCTGGTGTTATCGGCTGGTGTTAAAAAGCAGAGTGGCTTTGGGGACAAAGGTGGCGCTCCTCCTCTCAGTCCTGCAGGAAATGCAGCGGAGGCGTCGCCCAGAGGGGAGGCATTGAAATGCGGGGTGAAGAATGTGAGAGGGGTCGTTGATGATTTTTGCTGCTTCTCTAAGGGCCTGTTGGCTGGAAACCTGTGCCGGAGTTCTGACAGGCCAGTGATTTTAGAGCACACTGATGCTGCAGTCTGTTCTTGTTCTGAAGGCTGAGGGAGTGGGACCAGCAGGTGATGGAGAAGGTCATGATGCTTTCCAGGAAGGCATCGTAAGAAGTCATCATGATGGGTGTGCTGACTCCAAAGGAGTTGAGTTTCCTGAGGAGGTGTAGCCGTTGGTGGCACCTCCTTAGTAATTGCTGCGT